TCTCCTACTTTTTGTGCATAAAAACATTAAGAAATACATTTTTGAAAATGGTCACCCATGCGGCACCTGTGTGGTTCAGTGGGTTGGGCCTCTGCCTTCGGCTCAGATTGTGGTCTCAGGGTCCTGGGATTGAGCCCCTCATCAGGCTCTCTACTCGGCAGGGAGCCTCCTTCCCCATCTCTCTCTCTGCCTGCCTCTCTGCCTACTTGTGATCTCTGTCTGTCAAATAAATAAATAAATAATCTTAAAAAAAAAAAAAGGAAAGAAAATAGTCACCCAATATCCTGCCACTCAAACATAATAACTATATTTTTAATCATTTAGAATTGCTTAAAGATACTTGTTTTGATAATTCAGGTAACAATCTTGATTTTCTTCTTCATGGCAGAGGTGGTAGGACAATCCTGGGTTTAAGAACTCTTACATCTACGGCTTCTGAAAGGTCTGTCAAAAGATGAGAGTTCCTTGCCTAGTACTTCTGTCTCCCCTAAAAACCTATTATGTGGTAATCACTCACACATATACCTACACATTTCTTGAACCTATTTTTAATTTTAGCCTGCATGCCTTCTTGGCAAGAGAGAGAATGAGGCTGAGCAGGTGGGAGGGCAGGGTGGGGATAGGGGAATTACACAGTCTTTGGGCTTATTACTTTCTGTCCAAACTCTCTTGCTTTCAAATGCCAATAGATGTTTTCTAGTTCTACGTTTCCACTTTCATGAAAAATAATCTGCTCACTCTATGTGTAATGTGTGCCTGAGAATTTGACTTCCAGTATCCGTCTAGCTCTTCTTTTGTAGAAACCTGATACGGGTTAAAAAAAAAAAAAAAAGTCAACCTTTCTAATGACAGGAACCCTAAGGTTACCAGCCAATGCCCCAGAGAGCTGTCACTTACACACTAAGCTCATCAACACACTAAGGTAACGGCCACCTGGTCTTAGTGATTTCCCGTTATCTAGTCTGTGGATTAGGTCTGTAATGTCCTGAGCATTTATCATTTTGTCTGTTTCCTCCTATATGATTATTGCTTGGGAAAGCCTGGGTGTAAGAATATTACTCAGTGAAAGGTGAAGCAAGGAATTCATTTACACCATTTTTTGTTTTTTGTTTTTTTTAAATCTGTGAGTATATACTTGGTACGATGTAAGCCGGTGCTTCTACAACTCTCATTTCACAGAATTTAAGACTCTTCCGCTATTGTTTTAGGAATCCACTGCAAGGATTTTTTTCAAATTCATTATTGGCTCTCTTATTTTTGTGTGCCTGGGATCTGTCACCTTTTGCAATCTCGAATCAGTAATCTGACCCTTCAAAATTTTCTTTTTCATTACATATATCTAAGTAAGAGCTCATTTTAGTTTTTTTTTTCCCCGTGTAATCAGTTTTTCAAATAGCTTGAATATAAGGCCTTTTTTTTTATCATAAGTTATCATAAAGAAATTCATATACTCCCCACTTTCTTTTCTTTTTTTTAAAGATTTTATTTATTTATTTGACAGAGATCACAAGTAGGCAGAGAGGCAGGCAGAGAGAGAGGAAGGGAAGCAGGCTCCCCGCTGAGCAGAGAGTGCAATGTGGGGCTCGAACCCAGGATCCTGGGATCATGACCTGAGCCGAAGGCAGAGGCTTTAACCCACTGAGCCACCCAGGTGCCCCTACTCCCCACTTTCTTATGGGTAATTTAATTAAGTATTTATCTCCATTTTTAACTCTTACATGTCTGCATTGAATTATCTTTCAGAGAACTGATTATGTACTTGATGTCTTTCTTTGGAGTCCTCTCTCCCATTAGAGAGTATCGAATTAAATTGAAATATATATATTCCTCATTATGTGCTCCAATCTGCATTGCATCTGCAAGGTACTCACTCAGTGAACATTTCCAGGATGAACATAAGATACCAACAGGTAATAATCATGGGGCATTTACTGGGTGTCCTGTTCCACACTAAGTATTTGACAAGCATCGTGTCATTAATTCTAAGGCATTAGACTGTAAACAGGGCAAGGAGTCTGTCCATGTATCCCTAGCACCTACAGCAGCGTTGGCATTTAGTAGATGCTCACTGAATATTGCCATATAGATAAGCTCAAAAACTGCATGAGATAGGTGTCATTACTATACATGCTTTACACATAAGAAAACGTGTATATTTTCCTATGTGCCTCTCTGAAGCACAGAGAGGTTCGATTGCTTTCTGAGGTCCCACAGTGAGTATGTGAAGCCAAGACTTGCTTCCAAAGCCCAGATACTTAACTAGGACTTATTACTTGGAAACTCAATACCTACCTACATTCTACATTAAGGCAAACAAAATTAATTCTATTTATCTTAACAAATATTATACAATGTTACAAATAAATATTGTGATAAATAATTTCCAAAAAAAAAGATTTGAAAAAGATGGGTTTTTAATAAATAATCAGATAGGCAGATAGGTATCTGTATGTTCCTTATTGCTAACCATGCAATTAAAAATAGGATTTCCCTCTAATCAATACTTCTGTTGCATTTGTGCACTAGTTAATGAGGATTTGGGGAGTTCTTGATAAATGCGTTTTTGGTTTTTTTCCCTGACTGGTTTTGGGTTTATTTAAATAATCTGTATAGTCAATTCTTTTTAACATAAGAATGGCACTAATGAAATAATCATTTATTAGGGCTTCCTTATAATTGTCTATAGAGTTTATGAGGAGCTTCTGCTTATAAAGTGGGAGACTTAAATATTTCTGTCACTGTTACAAACATCTACCGGTCCCATGATTTTCCTGAAACACTACCATCAGGACATCATTCTTTAGGGATTTGATTACTTGTATATTTAACTATTCATTAACAAAAATTATATAACACTTTGAAGAGGATAGTTCCTTAAAAACATTAGCTTTCTCCTTAAATCCTTATCAGCCTACATCTTAGTGGGATTTAAATGATATTTAGCAGAGAGCAAAGTTTTTTGGGAATGGTACACAATGGTCCTGAAGCCATGGGTTGAATAATAAAAAGAGGTGCAGAAATTAGACTAGGAAAACACTGAAGAAGTAGCCCACATGAAGGAAGGGAGGGAGGGAGGAAGGGAGCAATGGAAGTAAGAAGGTAGAAAAAAACTTGAACTCTACTATTCACCTTGGAAAAATCATAATCTCCAAGAGCCTCAGCTACCCTACCTGTAAAATGGGGGTGACAAAAATACAACTTCCTCACAGACACTTCAATAGCAGATCTCAATGTGCTATGTAAACTGTATACCATGATACCTTGATATTATTTGCCTGTAATCAGCTCCATTTATACATTCTGTAATATAAACATTCATCTTCAAAGACTGTCAACAGCTTCAAAATGTAGACCCATGAATCCTATCTACATTTTTTTGGTCTGGATGCATTTTTGATATTTTTAACCCAAAGAACCAGTTCACAACCTTTACAGCCTTTGTATACCTACAAGCTCAAAGAGCTTACTGTGTGCTCTAAGGACTAGAGTTCTGTACAATCTCTGTCTAAACAAGGAAGCCTCTTCTAAGTCCAGTTTCAGTCTGGTGCCTTTGGTCAAGGTGGAAACTAAAATTGAAAACAGATAGATGTTTTACATTTAAATGGGTTTAACATAAATGTGCATTAAGCCATTTTATGGACGATTGCACAAATATCTTTTGCAAACTTGGTACACGTGAGCACATACAGTAACCATTAATGTCTTCCAGAGAAATAAGGTGCAGATCCAAAATTTTAAGCAGCTATCTTGAGTCCTCTCACTCGAAAGAAAATGTAATGGCTTTAAGGGAATTGCTCTAATAATATCATGGCATCTGCAATGGCTGGCCAGAGCAGAGCCGAACAGAGTGTATGTCACCATAGTTCAATTTAACAAGAAATAAGCTGCTCCCTGGAGAATCTAAACTCCCTAGTCTCCCACAAAGAAAATTGAATTTTGGAGGTCACACTTTGGGTAGGTTACCAGAGGGAGAAGCTTGACATTCTTTTTGTCATATGCTCTGGGAGGTCAGTGCTATCCTACCAACAAATCGCTACCTAAGATCTGCTGCCCGCTCAACAGCACCCCCCCCCAAATTATACGAGTGCTCCTAGTCCCCAAGGAAATGGCAAATGATTGTGACACTTAAGATACCTGAGACCACGCCAGATGCCATCATGTAGAAACATCAAGTTTTGTACCGCCAAGTGAGGAGAGGGGTAGATGCGGGGGTGGGGGGGGTGTGGAGCGGGGAGTGGGGAGGGGAGGAGAGCTAATGATATTGTGGTGGGGGTCGGAACGGGTCAGATAGACCCACAGATAGAGAGCTCTAGGCTAAAACTGTTTAGCGAAATGTATATCAACTGAACTGCTGTTACCAGAGAGAAAAACACATCGCCAAGTCAAGCCCAGGCGAAGCCCTGGCTCTGTGGGTGGACGGCCCCTTCTGCGGGTCGCCTGGGTGGGTGGTCGGAGGGCCTGGAGAATTCCCGCAAAGGTTGGAGGCGCCCCAGCTTACCGCATCTTGGGCAGCGGCCCCGGGTGGGCGCAGCCAGGCCATCGACACCCCCCCACCCCCCGCAGCAACATGTGGGGCGCTGCCACTCCGCCGCATGAACTCCCTCCAGCTGGAGTTCCTGGTGGACGTACACTTGGCCCTGAGAAGGTGCTGAATTACTCTTGGGAAAGATTCCTCCTGCGTTGAACTTGGCAGCTCCTGACATTTCCATGCCACCCCCTGTGCGCCAGCACTACACACACGCACGCACACGCCCCTCTAGACCTGCCCAGGCTGCGCTCAGTACTGGCTGCCCACTCGGGGACAGAACACCAGAGCGGGATGCAGAGGCGAGAACCCCAGCTCCGCCGGCCCCGGGAAGGGGTGGGGGTGCGTGTCTTAGCACTGGGTAGTTCCGGGGACTAAGCCCTCTGCTGGGGCGCCCAGAATCCGCATTAGTTAGGGCCGCTGGCACCAACCCAGTCTCCTTTTGTGCTCTCCCGGGAAGCCCGCCTCTACTCACCCGGGCTGAGCGCGGATTCCGGCCGCCAGCGGCAGCCCGCTTCCCCATCCCACGAACACTGCGGCGCCCCCAGAGTGTGCAATGCGGAGCCCCACCAGCGCACGGCCGGAGCCGTGGAGTGCGGGGAGGAAGCAAGTGAGGGAGGGAGGAGGAAGGAGAGAGAACGCGGCGGGGAGGGGCGGGGGTCGGCGGGGGGCGCGCGCGCCACTCCCACTCGCGCTCGGCACTCGCCTTCGCCTGCAGCCGGGGTCGGACAGCCCTGCCTCGCGGGCCGCGGGACCAATCAACGCGCGCGGGGGGAGCCGAGCCCTCCGCCGGGCGCGCTCATTGGCCCGGCGCGCTCGACCCAACTCCGGGAGAGTCGGCCTGAGCGCCAAGTCTGCAAACTCCAGCCCGCAGGAGCCGACCGCCGGTTGCAGGTGGGGCTCCCGGCTCCGCGCTCTGGCGGGCAGGGGGGTCCGCGTTCGGCGGGCGGAACAGAGAGGATTTGAGACCTGCCCTTGAAGCCCGTTCCCAGTGAGCGTTCCAAACCAGCAGTGTTTGCTCAGGTTGCACCGATTCCTTCCTGTGAGCGACCCCCTAGGCGGCTCGCCGCACCCTGGCTAGCAGTTGAGTGGTGGAAACCTGGCAATGTGAAATGGCCCCAGCCAAATCGTACTCCTGGCCGCCCCCAAGGCTGCATTTTCAGCACCTAAGAGCTGAAAATCAAGTCCCTTTCCGAACCCAGGGCAGATCTAGACCGCTTGACGTTTGCAATAGAAGAAGAGACCGCGGGGTGGGTGATGGAGCGGTGGGAGAAAGCCCGGGAGGCAGGTCTTTCTGAGAAAGTGGGAATCTAATCGTGATTTTGGTAGGCATAGTTCTCCCACCCTCTGCCAAACCTTTCTCCCAGGTAAAGCCACCTCCAAATCCCCGACCCCGCCAATCTCTCAGGAGGTATTGATTTTTCTCTTCCTTGTTGTAAATCAGGTTTCACTCTCCTGTGCTTTTTAATCTAAAGCCTCAAAGTGGAAAGGGAGCACAGCCTAACCCTTCTCCCCCTCTGAGCATTACCGGAGCTGGGCGTGGGGGCGGTGACTAGAGAAGATCCTCAGAAGGTCTCCCACAGCAGCCCCACCTCTGCCTGGTACCTGGTCTGCAGGACAACCTTCGCTTTAGGTCCATTCGCCCCGCTATGAGGATCCTCTCTCTCCTCCTTGGACTTTCTGTTTTTCAAGCTTCTTTTCAGGTAGGCCTGTTCTGAATCTTCTGGCTTGGCTCTTCCCCTTAATCTGCTCCTTCTCAACGTAAAAATGTCTTTTTAGTTTTTTTTTTTTTTAATTCAATTGAATTGACATATAGTGCATTATTAGTTTCAGAGGTAGAATTTAGTGATTCATCAGCTGCATATCATACCCAGTGCTCATTACATCAAGTGCTCTTCTTAACGTCCATCATCCATTTACCCCTTTCCTCCCACCCACCCCAGCCCCCACCCCAACCACCCCTCAGTTTGTTCCCTATAGTTAAGAGTCTCATATGGTTTGTCTCCCTGTTTCCATCTTATTTTATTTTTCCTTCCCTTCCCCTATGTTCATCTGTTTTGTTTCTAAAATATCTTTTTTTTTTTTTTTAAACTTCCCTCCCATTCCCTCTCTTTGGAAGGAACTTGGATAAGATGTTCTTCATTCACAGCTCCTGGCCTCAGAAAATTTTTCTCTTACTTAGTTTATGTGCTCAGGTTTACACAGCTCAGGGTTCAGATGGGCAAAAATAATTAGCACTCCTTTAGAACCTTTGCACACACGAGGTGATTGCTGCGGTGCTGCCTTCCTGCAAGGCTCCGCCCACTGAATGAGCTGAACATGAATTAATCAAACTGAAACTGGTAATGTCCCTCAGCAACTAAGCAGATTACCTCTGCAAGTTAGAATCTGGTACTTACAAGGGCATGTCTTGGGTGTCACTCCTGTCAGTTACTTAGTTTCCAGGAAAGACATTCCTTCTTGCAGAGTTCCTGTCCATGTACCTAGCTCACTTGATTTTTTACAAAACTGGTACAGCTCCTAGTTTAGTCAAAACTTAATATTTGCACTCAAAATGAAGTTCAGTGCATTCATGCAGTTCATGAGACCGAGTTCCTGATGGAGAAGGAATCGTTCAGACCTCTTTTCAAAGATGTGTTTTAAAAGAATGAGAGAGATGTCCCGGAAATGTCAGCAAGTGGTTATCACTGTGTGCTAGGATACTAGTGGATTTTTGAAAGGTCTTTTTCCTTATACTTCACTATATTTTCTAAAGAACATGTAATACTTACTAATCAGGGAAAAAACTTAAATATATTAACTCCAAACACACAATACCCTTCATGCATCTTAAGAGCTAAAATATTAAATCCTCCTTCTACTTTACCCTTCGACTCTTATCAATCACTAAGTCCCATAAATTCTGTCTCCTCGAATAGTTTTCAGAACTGTCCTTCTCCACCTCCCCACTAGCATTGCAGCACCCCTGTCATCTCTTACTGGTTTCAGCAAACAGCCTTAACTCCTCTACTACCCAGTCAGTCCCAACACTGCCTTCTCTCCTTAAGATGATCATGTCACTGAAAAGTTTACTATCTGGGGCACCTGGGTCTCCCAGTAAGTTGAGCATCAGACCCTTGGTTTCAGCTCAGGTCATGTTCTCTGAGTCTCAGCATGGAGTCCATCTGGGATTCTCTGCCTCTCCCTCTGCGCCCCCCAAATAAATAAATAAATAAATAAATAAAATTATCAAAAAAAAAAAAAGGCTGAAAATCCACCTGTCCCCCACCTCCATTGCTATGAAGTTCAAACTTAGCCTGGTTGGCAAAGCCCTTCCTTCCCAGCCTGACCCCAGCCTTTCATGTTGGCCTCATCTCCTGCCCCCCACACTTCACCACACAGGATGACCCTATCCCCCCACAACTTTCTGTTTTCTGTGTTAGGTGACTTTGCGTGTCCATGGCTAAGACTATAGAGTGTGGGAATACTGCTCTTCTCCTCCTCTCTTCCCCCTTCCCGGCCCCCAAGCAGCTCCTACATCTGCTTCAGGACTCATTTCAAATATCACTTTTTAAATGAAGCCCTCAAAACTTTCAGGGGCAGACTTAGCAGCTCCTCCTCTCTGTACTTCAATAGCAAGTGCTTTCTTTACCCAGCAACTGTTTCTGCGGCTCCTATTATGTGCCAACCACAATGAAGCAAACACGAATCATATTTATACTGCTGGAACACACCATGAGAGAGACAAACATTAAATCAAGTTGCATAGATAAATGATTGCAAACTGAGATAAGTGTGATGAAACCTGCAAAAAAAAAAAAGTGTGTGGTTTACTTTGTACATACGCCAACCATAACTCTTACCACATTGTGTTATAATCTGTTGATTTGTTTGTCCAAAGTTTTATCTCCCATCATATTCATCCATGTAACCCCATCTAGAACACAGTGCCTGGCTCATAGTATATGGTTAGTAAAATTTTTTTACATAAACAGATAAATAATCCCTGCGAAGTGTCTTATTTCATGTATTCACATGCTATTTTTGTATAAAATCTGAAAGACTTCATTTCTCAGTTTTCAAAATTCATTTCATTAGGTCCTTACCTTATCTTTCTAATTTGGTTCTCCCTAACATAAATTATCTAATTTCTTCTCATTTGTTGTCACCCTTAGAAGATACAGCTAATTTACTATTTGTAGATAATCTACTTTTGCTGGAAGAAATTTATTCTTTTGTTTTTTATAAATTTGACTTTTAACACATAAAAATCCAACTTGAAAACATAAAGCTAAAAGACACAAAGCGTAATCCATAAAAGAATAAATAATTGAACTTGGTCAAAATTTAAAATATTTGCTCTACAAACAACACGATTGAGGGAATGAGAAGAAAGACTGGGAGAAAATGTTCGCAACTCATGTATCTGACACAGGACTTATAGCCAATGTATATAAAGAATTCTCAAAACTAAACAACAACAAAAACAACCAACCAAATTTTTCAAAGGGCCAAAGGATGTAGACAGACATTTTACCAAAGAGGATACACAGATGACAAATAGTAACCAAAAAGACGCTCAATATCCCTAGTCATTAATAAGATGCTAATTAAGACCTCAATGAGATACACTTAATAGAATGGCTTAAAACACACACACACAACTGATAATACCAAACACTGATGAGGATGCCGAGCACGGAGAAATTCTTGTACATTGCTGGTGCGAATGCAAAATGGTACTGCCATTCTAAAAACAGTTTCACAGCTTTTATAAAGTTTGCTGTATGCTTAGCCATACAACACAATCTTCCCAATACTAGGTATTCACCCAAGTAAAATGAAAGACCTATGTTCATACAAAAACCTAACAGATAGTTATAGCAATTTTATTATTAAAATCTCAAAATAATCCCAAAGTCCCTCAACTGGGAAATACATAAAACCATAGGACATCCTGAGAATAGAATACCACTCAATAATAAAAGGTACAGACTATTGGTACAAACATGGTCTATCTCAACACATCATGCTAAGTGAGAGAAACCAGACTCAAAAAGCTGAGGCACACACTGGTTAGGAATGGCAGAGCAGTGAGATAAAAGCACTACAGGTTTTTCACGATGACAGAGCCACAGTTGGAGATCTGGAATGATCTACTTTTATATGAGGCGGTTGTTTAAACCATTGTTATTTCTCATTTCTTGTCACATGGAGCTAAGCCTCATTTTCCCTAATATAATGAGTGTAGGAATTAATCAATTAATGAAGATATCACTAAATGTGGTCTTTGTACAAGAAGAAACTGTAGCCTCTCTTAGTCACTGAAACACCACCAATGCCTCACACAATACCAGTACACACAGTGGGTACTAGATAAATATTGGTTTAATAAATAAACAGATAAGAATAAGGATAAAGTTGCAATTTTATGGGAATGTAACAAAATTTTCCATTCAGATGAGTGTTTTCCCCCGCTCCAAGTAGCTACTTTGGTGCATTGCATTTTTCATTCCAGTGACACTGCTCTTATTTCAAAATATATTCCTTTTCCCCTTTCTGCTTATTAAAATATTGCCCTTTCTTTAAGTAAAATTGTTTTCCTTAAATAAA